GCGGCATAGCCATCGTAGCCATACACAAGCTAGTCTTGGAGAAGAAATCAGGACTCACGAGCAGATTTGCAATCAAGTATTTGCTCAACCAGTTAAGAGTAATCTTCAGCAACGCTCGTTTGTCTCTCAGATAGAACAATATCTTGGCGACAGCGAATCGGCTGGTATAGAAGCGATAAGTAATTGGAATTGTGATCAGCTTGGACATCGTTTTGACGATTGCCTCGAAGTTCTAATTTTTTTTTGTTAAGAATATTTGGCTTAGAACACATACTGTTTGCGCACTTGGCGCGTTTATTTAAATTGAAGTCACTAGTTGTAGGGCGAGAGCGGGAGCCAATAAAGCTATCGTCCGCTATAATTCTTTTCGCACCTAAGAGGCGCTTATATTTATATACCATTTCTGTGAAATTATCAGTAGTTTTATTATATTTATTTAGGATTAGTATCAGTCGCATTAATTTTATTTTGTTTCTTGGTGTGGTGTGTCTTTATGTCATAAATATTTATAGACTGCGAGCGCAGCTAATATTACAATTAAATAATTTAAAATGGGTGACAGCAACAATAATAACATAAACATAAATCCAAATCGATCAAATAGCCATGCGATGTTAAGGGTTCTCGGAGAGAAGAGAGCTGGTCTTAATGTGTGTCATATAAATGCTCAAAGCCTCACACGAAAAATTGAAGAATTTAGATACCTCTTTATCAATTCGAGTGTAGATGTTATATGTGTTTCTGAAACTTGGTTTGTTCCTAATTTATGTGATGTTTTAGTTGAATGTGATGGTTATAATTTGCATCGCTCTGACCGTGATAGTCATGGGGGTGGGGTTGCAATATATGTTAGTAAAAAGTTATGTTCCACGTTTATATGTAAACACTCAACCAGTAGTGCAATTGAATACTTATTTATAGAAATTAGATGCCAAAAATATGCTGATAAGCTACTAATTGGGTGTGTATACCGACCTAACTGCCGTATTGACTATGAACAATTTTTAAACATTATTCCTGACGTGTCAATTAATTATTCAGACGTCATTATAACAGGCGATTTTAATAGCGATATTTTAAGGGATTCCCACCTTGCAGAGGACATGAAATCGCTGGGGATGAAGTTGGTTAACTTTGTGTCCCCTACGCATTTTACCAAAACCCGCAACTCGCTTTTAGACTTATTTTTTGTGTCTAATACAGACAAAGTAGCCACATATGACCAACTTATTGTCCCATCGTTCTCAAAACATGACCTCATATACTTGACTTACGCACTTGACCTACAATACCTTGACCATTCAATAGTTTTTAGGGACTTTGGATATATCAACTATGACCTTTTGGACTCCACCTTTAATTTGTGCAATTGGAATGCCATATATTCCCTTTCCGAAGTAGACGAACAAGTTAACCTTTTACAAAACAATATTTGTTATTTATATAACTGTGTCGTACCTGTTCGTAGCAAAGTTATTCGTTTTTCTGAAAAACCATGGTTCCAAAGAAACATGAAAGACGCAATATTACAGCGTGACGGGGCGTTCAATAAGTGGAGAAGGTACAGGACACCTCAAGCTTACGCAGTGTTCAAGTCATTGAGAAAAAAAGTGACCAAACTTACTGACACTACCAAGGCAAATTTCTATTCCCATAAATTCAACAAGGCATCTTCCACTGCTCAGACATGGAAAATAATTAAAAAGCTGGGAATATGCAAAGTTAAACCAAGACTTGAACAAGACATTAATGTAAATGAACTTAATAAAAAGTTCTTAAGCTGCAAAGTACCTGAAATCACTGAAAATAAATATCTGAACCCACGATTTGTATCCGAAACTGTCTGTGATATTAGATTTAGGTTTTTGTGTGTTAATCAGTGTGATGTCCTACAAAGTATACTAAGAATTAAGAGTGACGCCACTGGGTCTGACAACATAAACCCTAAATTCATAAAAATTCTGCTGCAAAAAATCCTGCCATACATAACCTATACCTTTAATACTGTACTGACAAAATCTACTTATCCGGACTGTTGGAAAGCGGCAAAAATAATTCCGATTCCTAAATCAAATAATAAGTACAGACCCATCTCCATTTTACCATACCTATCAAAGGTATTTGAGAATCTCATGGCTGATCAAATTAATAAATTTATGTCCGACAATGCAATGCTTACTAATAATCAGTCTGGTTTTAGGAAAAACAGAAGCTGTACCTCAGTTATTATAAAAATTGCAGACGACATAAGGGAACAAATAGACGAAAACAATGTTACACTCTTAGTTTTACTGGACTATAGTAAGGGCTTCGATACAGTAAACCATAACGTCCTTTGTGCCAAACTACGTAATATGTTTATGTTTTCTAAAAGTTCTGTCAAACTTGTGTCCTCGTACCTGCAAAATCGTCGTCAATCTGTTGTACTGTCTAGCGTTTCGTCCTCATACGAAAATGTTAATCGTGGTGTACCCCAAGGGTCTGTGCTTGGTCCCTTATTGTTTACCTTATATGTTAATGACCTTCCCAATGCGTTATCTGAATGTAATGTACACTTGTATGCTGATGATGTCCAAATGTATGTGAGTCGTCCTTTAAACAGAATAAATGAATGTATAGATGTTTGTAACAGAGAACTTGAACGTGTAAATGAGTGGGCCGGCAACAATGGACTTGGGATCAACCCATCAAAATCAAAATGTCTTGTCATAAGTAAAAGAAAGATGATTTTTAACAATTTGCAGCCACTGAGTATGAATAGCACGCCACTTGAGTACGTTGATACAGCTGTAAACTTAGGTTTTACATTCAACAGAACTCTTACCTGGAATGATCATATTAAAAAGTCTGTAGGGAAACATATGGCATAATAAGGACATTATCCGTAACTAAAAATTGCCTGCCCACCCATATACGTTTACTAATAGCTAAAACCTGCATTGTTCCAGCGCTATTTTATGGAGTAGAAGTTTTTTCAAACTGTGACACTACCAGTAAGAACAGAATTAAAGTTCTATTTAATTGCATAGCCAGGTATATATTCAACCAACCACGTACAGATCACGTATCCGAATTTTCGCTGAAAATATTCGATATCTCGCTAAATGAATGGATAAAGATGCGGAACTTAATTTTTCTGCAAAAAATTATTTTCCAAAAAGAACCTTTGTATCTTTTCGAAAAACTTCAATTTACATCCTCTAGAAGAGCAAACAACCTTACTTGCATAAGACCTAGATCATTGACATCCGAAAGACAATTTTTAATTAATGCTATTCGATCTTGGAATCAGCTCCCAAACCATCTTAAAAATATTAGCAGTGCCACGCAATTCAAGATAAAATTATTCACACACCTTAAAAACAGTATTACGTAAACTAAAGTAAAAATAGAAGGCGACTTAGGTTAGTTTTTATGAAAATTAGTTTTAAGTATAATGTAACAATTAGATATTTGCAAACTCGTAGTGACTAGCGCATTAACTTATAAGTTCCAAACTTGTAGCGTTAGGATGAAATTTTATAATAAATACAAATACAAATTGGTTGTTGCCCAAGACGTTTCTTCCGCCGCTGCAATTTTAATTGTTTAATTTGCTGCTGCCGTTGGAACATGGATGTAAAAAAGGAAGTTGCAATTATCGAGTCGGCCAACCAGGTATAGAGTGCTAAAAGTTTAAAGTTAATCTGTGGCGTTTTGTTAATTGTGTTTTGGCCCATCTTTCATGGCATTCGAGTAAACATCGGTAGATAGTGAGCATTCTAACCAAGAAATAAAAATTTGCATGTACTAACAACCAAAATTCTGCAAAAACATAAAATATTTCGAATTATATGTGAATCGTTTTGGCCAATGAACACGCAAATAAAATACTCGTCGTGGGCCCAATCAGTACAAAACTTAATTCCCCAAACTTTCGTCGTAGAGAGCACCAATTTAGGGTATAAATAAAACAGCTGGAAAAAAGTGCAACTTGTGAAAAGTGTAGTTCTCAAAATAAGCGGCAAAAGATTTCGTCGCAGTTTGTTTGAACATTTTCCCGCGCTTTTTACAATTTTGATAATTTTTGCGCGTCTTTCGGCATCAGGCTTAAATATTCGTTGCCCTTAGTTATCGGTCAGTGTATCATTCTCCGTTAACATTTGCCTAGGAAGATCTGCTAGCCGCGTACACATACTCACGCACACCGATACCGCTGCCGCTATTTCGAGTTATCTTTGGTCGATTTCGTTCTAGATCACTGCCGCAGTGCAATTTTCGGCCTGCTTAAACGTTTGTTCGATTTTTTTTAGCTTTTTTAGCTCCCCTACAGTGCGAGCGTGCGGCATATACTGTCGCAGGGTTTATATAAAAAATATAAAAACCCTATTTCCAAATTTTTTGCTGTACTTCTCTCGGCACTTAGCTCCCCTACACAGCGTATTCAACAAATAAATCATATTAATAAAAATACATATTTAACACCTCTTCGATACCAACAAAATAAATACAAATGGCAACCAAGGTTATGGAAGAGCTTAAACACCAACAAGATGTTTACATGAAAAGTATTGGCCGAACGTATCGCTACTTAAATGAAGCTAAATTATCTGTGAATCCGGTTGAGCTTGAGTGTCGATTAGAGATTCTAAATATGCACATTGAAAATGCTTCACTTTTTCAAAACCAAATAGAAGTGAAGTATTTTAAAGATGTATACCGCGAAGAGTTGGAAGAGAAGACCGTATTGACAAAGCCATTGCTTATTTCGATTTTAAATAAATGCAAACAAAATAATATCAAGAAATCCGCTCCGCCAACAAATCAGAGGCTGAAGCATCGAAAAAGTTATTAAAAGTCAAACAAAAAATAAAGAACCAACTCCTTTAAACTTAAAGAAAAATTGCAAAAGATAACTCTTCCGCTCAGGCAAACAGATGCAGTCTCCACTTAGGCCATAGATGAGACTAGAATAAGAATCTTGGAAACGGTGTTTGGAAAAATAGGATTTAATTCAGAACTCAATGTAGAAAGTTATTTTATTTTGATGGAATCCCTTACAAATGTATAGCCATTAAAGTGGAAACTGTTTTTGTTCGTTAGGTGAGTCTGATGCGCAAGGCCTTCGATGTCTGTTGCTGCATTATTCCTACAGTGGTTTGATGAAGTGTAACTTAACGGGGTCGAGGTTGATGGTATTTACGGTCTCGAGCTGCAGTTATTTGTTGACTTAGGCGATTTTTTAAATCTTTATAGACAGTTTGCGGTGTGGTTTTCCCCACAGTTGCTAGATGTATGTGCATCCCCACAGGCAACTCAGACTTCGCAGAGTGCAAAAGGTTTTCGTATGTCCATATTCTTGGCAATTGAACGGGTCCATTGCGTTTGTGGGATTCCTCAACGGTGATTCTACGGTGCAGTATCTTGTTCGTCATTTACTTGTATTTTTATCTCATTTATATTACCCCTTTTTATAGACGGGACATAGAATTTATTTACGACAATTTGGTTTGTTAGGTGATTGATCGGTATAGGTTGGGTAACTTAGAAACAAGAATCTTTTTTTGGTCAGCGCTTCGTTTGGCACAGTGATTTCAGTCGTTTTGTCTAATTTGGGTGCGTTTGTTTTCCTCTTTGATAGTGAGCTTAATATTCCTTTAACGACCGATTCATGTTTGTAGTAACGCTCCGTAAGCATTTTTCACATTTTTAGTGGGGTAATGGGAGTTTGCCAAAAAGAACTTGCGATACTGAGCATATGATGCCAGAAGTGTAGTATCTGTTGAATCTCGTGTTGTTATTGAAATCGAATTTAGCATCCAGGACTTGCAATTAAATATCCGGCTCCTTGTAGTTCTATGTTAGGTGTTCCATCTCAGCAAAAAGCAGAAAGCAAAAGAGATCCGTTTGTTGCAAATATCCATAGATTCTTGGCATACATTCCAAACTTATTGTTTTGCTCGTTACATCCGTTTTATTATGAAATAATTTTAACTCACAGCTAATTTCTGATGAAACACTTGCTTGCTTCTTGCAACAAATAAAATCCGGTTTTGCTCTCTCTTGACAGAACTTTAAATCTGATTTAGACACTTCTACCAAATTCATCACGATGACTGTTGATTGCAAGGTCAGGTGATTTTATTTCAATCGAACGGATTTCATCTTTACTCAAAAATGGAATTTGAGTCAATTTGTCGATATGCAGAACTTGTGATATTAAGGGAAAATTTACTTTAAAAAATGACGTAAATCGCTTCATCACCCTTTATCAGCTGGTGTGCCATAAGAATGTTATCTGGCGAACCATGAAGCATCTGTCCTGGTTTTAAGTGATTATGTATACGAGGTGTGTTCAAGTAGCAAGGTGACTTTTCTAATTTCGCGGGCAGCATATTTTCGATTATAGATTTTTTTGTTTTGTTAGGTTGGTACACTCTTCCCTAACATCTGTACCAAGTTTCAAGTGAATCCCCTTTTTTGTTTGGTTATGAGAGGCGTGAAGGTTACAAGTTGTTTTAAGTGTTCGGCGATTTTTTGCAATCGAAAAATATTGATCAAAGAATTTGCATCAAATTTTGCGTACAAAATAAAGTTAAGTGTTCCGAAACACTTGAAATGTTAACAGTGGCATACGGTGAAAATGTCCTGAGTAAAAAAAATGTTTACAAATGGTACAAATTATTCCAAGATGGCCGGGAAGTTGCCAATGACGAACTTCGCGCTGTACGCCCAAGCACGTCAACAACTGATGATAACGTTCAAGCAGTGAAGAAAATTGTGTTGGAAAATCGTCGAATCACTATTGGAAAAGTTGCTGAAGATGTCGGTATATCGCTTGGCTCGTGCCATGAAATTTTTTTAAACGTTTTGGTCATGAGACGTGTGTCAGCGAAGTTTGTTCCAAAATTGCAGAATTTTGACCAAAAGAACCGTCGCAAGAGCATCGCTCAAGTGCTGTTGAATGACGTCACTTACGAACCAAACTTACTCAAAAGGGTCATAGCTGGTGACGAATCATGGGTACATGGTTGTGATATCGAAACCAAAGCCCAATCCTCCCAATGGAAGAGCCCAGGTGAGCCAAGAACACGCAAAACAACTTGTAACCTTCACGTCTCTCACAACCATACAAAAAAGGGGATTCACTTGAAACTTGGTACAGATGTTAGTGAAGAGTGTACCAACATAATAAAACAAAAAAATCGATAATCGAAAATATGTTGCCCGCGAAATTTAAAAAGTCACCTTACTTTTTGAACACACCTCGTATATGCCAATTCATCCTCTAGTTGCCGTGGTGATATCAGCATTGGAATAATCGGCATTAGCGAATATCTGTTAATACATTTATTATTTCAGTTGTTAATAGTGGTATATATCATCGGAGTTTATTAAATAAGCTCTTGCTACTTTCTGTGTTGGAGGTATAGTCTTCAATCAATTTTAATTGAAGTGATGGTACATACTTGTACATACTTCTTGTTGTGGAAATTGTTTACATACATGACCAATTTTAGCAATTCCAACTGAAATGTTTTCGTATAATTTTTTCTTTTAAATGCCCTGAAGTTTTTTTCTTTTTTGTGTGATCTCCTTAGCAATCTTGTCCTCAGAATTCTCTTAAAGTGGAGGCTTACACATCGGTTCTTTTTCTGCGAATAATGGAGCTAGGGCTGAATATCCCGTTTGACGACTTCTTTAGCTGTTGTGTCTTCCACTTTTCTGACAAAGTTGTTTTTCCCGTGGAATACCTTGACTATTCGCCCCTTTGGCCACTGTAGTACTGGTGTGTTGTCTTCTTTTATTAGAACCCACCTTCCTTCCTTAGTGTTCGCTGACGATCGTCTTCATTTTGTTTCTTCTGCTGTTGTTGAAGGTAGTCAGTTAACCATTGATTGCCATCGTTACCCCAACGTCTGTGGTTGCTGAGCATGTTCGCTGTCAAGTCGCTTGGATCAGTCGACGTTGGAACTAAAGGTCGAGACTTCAATATTGCTTCAATCTCGACTATATCAGTTTCTAACTCCTTATAAGTAAGACAAACTGTGATGTCATTTCCTGGATAATTCGAATAATTTTATTTTAGCTCGTTCCATCTGTTCTAACTGTATGTTAGACTCCTTGACTCCTGGCTCCTTGACTCCTGGCCTTTCTTTCACCCGCAAACCATATGCAAGTATCCTTAGTAGTTTGGGAAAGGAATTCCTATGATTTATGCGGTAAGGTAACACATCATCTTTAAATGATTGTTTGCGCACTTGGCGCTGGTATTTAAATCACTAGTTGTAGGGCGAGAGCAGGAGCGAATTCGCCCCGTCTCTCGCCACCGTAGCATAAGTTATGTTCTAAGAGAAATTATTGAAATATAATAGTCAGCAATCAATCGAAAGTCATCGTAGCCACTCCTTTTCGTCGTGTTTTCGAATTAGTTTTCACCAATTCGCAATTTAACATCGTCGAACTACTGCAGTCACAAGTTTTCGCGTCGTTAATACAAAACAGTATTAAATTTTCATGGTGACCCCGACGTGATTAGCAGTAGAGTTCGCGAGTTTTAATTTTTTTTCGGTGAAAAACTATAAACATTACCAACAAAAACGAATTTATTCGTGTCGGTTCGGCAAATAAATTTAATTCAACAATATTTCGTCGCTGGAAATTTTCTGCCGTTCCTTGAAGTTGCACCTGACGTTTCGGCAAATTTAATTGCTTAATTTGCTGCTGCCGCCAAATGGAAGTTAAAAAGGAAGTTGCAATTATCAAGTCGGCCATCCAGGTATAGAGTGCCAAAAATTGAAAGTTAATCTGTGGCGTTTTGTCAATTGTGTTTTGGCCCATCTTTCAACTTTTTGCATTCGTGAGCATTCTAACCAAGAAATAAAAATTTGCATGTACTAACAACCAAAATTCTGCAATAAACATAATATATTTCGAATTATATGTGAATCGCTTTGGCCCATAAACAAGCAAATAAAATACTCGTCGTCGACCCAATTAGTGCGAACTTAATTCCCCCAACTTTCGTCGTAGTGAGCACCAATTTAGGGTATAAATAAAACAGCTGGAAAAAAGTGCAATTTGTGAAAAGTGTAGTTCTCAAAATAAGCGGCAAAAGATTTCGTCGCAGTTTGTCTGAACATTTTCCCGCGCTTTTTACAATTTTGATAATTTTTGCGCGCCTTTCGGCATCAGGCTTATATATTCGTTGCCCTTAGTTATCGGTCAGTGTATCATTCTCCGTTAGCATTTGCCTAGGAAGTGCCGCTAGCCGCGTACATATACACACGCACACCGACTCCGCTGCCGCTATTTCGAGTTATCTTTTGTCGTTTTCGTTCTCGATCGCTGCAGCGGTGCAATTTTCGGTCTGCCTAAACGTTTGTTCGTTTTTTCGGTACGCTTGAGCTTGAGCGTTAGCTCCCCTACAGTGCGTGCGTGCGGCATATACTATCGCAGGGTTTATATAAAAAATATAAAAACCCTATTTAGATATTTTTCGCTGTAATTCTCTCGGCACTTATCTCCTTTTCACCATGTGCGATCGTTGATTTTTTATTATATTATTTAACAAATAAATAATTTAATAAAAATAAATATTTAACACCTCTTCGATACCAACCAAATAAATACAAATAAACGCAACGGCAACTAAGGATATCGAAGAGCTTAAACACTAACGAGATGTTTGCATGAAAAGTATTAACCGAACTTATCGCCACTTAAAATAAGCTAAATTATCAGTAAATCCGGTCGAGCTTGAGTGTCGATTAGAGATTCTTAATACGCACATTGAAAATGCTTCACTTTTGCAAAACCAAATAGAAGTGAAAGATACAAAAGATGTATACCGTGAATTCAATTTTAAACAAGTGCAAACAAAATAATATCGAGAAATCCGCTCCGCCAGCAAATCGCCCGCCTCAATGCCGTCTACCGAGCGTTGCTCTCCAAACTTTTAGCGGAAAACACTTCGAATTTAAAAATTTTGTAAGCCTTTTCGAAACTTTCGTTGACAAAGATTCAATCATTTAATTTCGTGTTTAGCTGGGGACGCTTTAGGAACAGTTAGGGCCTTTCAAGTCACTGCGGAAAATTATCCCAAAGCCCTTGCTAGCCTGAAGCGGGTGTACGATAATGATTGTCTTATTTTTTTTTAGACTTTTCAATTTGCAAAAAATTCCCCAGCCTTCAGCTACAGCCTTGAGAACCCTCATCGACACGGTCACAGCCTTGTATGACTCCTTGCTGTCTATTGGGGATGATAGACGCATTACTAATGCTATTTTAATACATCTGGTAATGAGCAAGGTCGATGCAGGAACTAAAAGAAAATGGGAAGAACAGTTAGATTATACTTCGCTTCCACTTTGGAGCGAATGTGAGGCGGCCCTTAACAGGCGATACCAACACATGGTAGCAGAAGAGGCTTCCAAGCCCAAAACTGTTCAGCAGACCCAATCTAACCCTAAGAAGAATGGAGATAGGAGTTTTTGTTTGTCGCTGCCAGGAACGACTCTGTTCAATGCATGTATTGCAACTCACTGAACATCAGATTGGAAACTGCCCTTCCTTCGCAGCCCTAACAGTTCAGCAAAGATTCGATTTCGCCAAAAAGAGCACCCTTATGCATTAACTGCTTAAGGGTCACACGGTCAAAAAATGCAAATCGAACAGATGTAGAGTGTGCAATTCCTCACATCACACTTTGCCACATATATATTCCCCAAACACAAATCTCGCGTTGCCACCTCCTTCTCAGCCCACGCTCATGCAGGAGTTTCCATCCACGTCGCATGTTTTGCATGCGAATGCTTCGGATCGAGTCATTCTTGCAACTGCTGTTGTGAGCGTCCAAACCAAAAGCGGCGAGTTTGTATTAGCTCGAGCGTTGCTCGACTCTGGTTCACAATTAAACTTTGTAACCGATGAGAAGACGTGTGCATGAGCTTGCGAGGCATTGGTGGAACTAATGCCCAAGCCCAAAAAAAATACTCACGATTGTGAAGTCGCGAGTAGGGAACAGCCAATTGTCGTTCGATTTTTTGGATTATGAAAAATATTTCTTTGAACTTTTATGTATTGGCCAGATAAAGCAGGGGCCTGAATTCCCCATCTTACAAAAGACAGTTCTCGGCTGGATAGTGTCAGGGAGATGTGCATCTGAAAATAATGAAAACGCTGAAAAAATGGTACATCTCAGCTGCCTGGAGGAAGCATTGGAGTCAATTGA